CTATCCCCTTTAAAAACTGGATTTTTGGACTTCTCAAATGATGTAGTTCCTCTTAAAAATGGGTCATTTTGGAGGGTCAGTTGTCCTTTAAAAAGAAACTAAGATAAACTAACTATATAAAACAAATAAATAATGAATTCAACCAGCAGCATAAAGTCACTTAAACTATCTGGTTGCAGTTAGACATATTCTTTTTACAAAATCCTTAAAGAAGATGTTCGGATCTGTGAGGGAATAGAATTCCATAATTTAGCTCCTCTATAAGAGAAACTTTTTAAGGACTTCTGCCGGTTCTCGGAAAGGTTTGAAATTCTAATTTATCTTGACTATCTCTCAGTTTTGAATTATGAGCATTCGAATCCTTACTTTTGGGAGAGATCATATGAGTAAGAAGGAGTATTTGTATGTAAAATATCATACATGAGAGATACGGTAAGCGTTTTTCGCGTCTTGTAGACAAACATTCCCAATTCAACTGTATTAATGAGTATTATCAAGACAAGTAGGCAAGTCATTGATATAAATTATACAAAGTATATAGTGGACCTAAAATTGAGCTCTGCGGAACACCGCATGTAACTATTATTGAATTTGTGGTGGAGGATTCAATGGTACAGCATTGACTTCTATCTGTTAAGTAAGATTTAAAGAAAGCTAAAGCTAAGACAGAGAGATAGACAGACAGGCATGCAGACAGACAGACAGACATATAGAAAGACAGACAGACAAAAACATAAAAATTAAGAGTAGAAATGTAAATATTTAGGGCAAATTCATTTTTTAAAGTATGGCAGATCAAGGAAAGAGAATAATAGTTCGTTAAAAACAGAAATAGATTATGTAGCTGCCCTAGTTACCTTCACGAGAAGCATATTTTTACGCTCGTCGAATCCTTTCTGCAGCCCACACAAGTATCTTATTAGTTTTGTCTTTCCACATCCAGTCTCTCCCATCACCACCACAGGGATACCACACCTAGAAGAAAAAGTAAATATACACTTGTTAAATATTCCCAGTCTCTCATGGATACAACATCTAAAAATACATCATATTCATTTGGTTTTCAACCTGAAGCGCATATGTATTGCAAGCATTTTCTTTGCATTGTCTTCTGTCAGTTCGTAGCTTTCATCAGGATCACGCGGCCATTCAACACCCAACACCGCACAAATCTTTTGGATTTTGTCTTCTCTGTGAAAAAAAGAAGAAACATTTATCTGGTTTACTCTAAAGAGCTAAAATAGTAATAATCATCATCATCATCATCCTCACCACTATTACCATCATCATCATCATCATCATCATCACCACCACCACCATCATCATCATCATCCTCACCATTATTATCACCATCATCATCATTATCATCATCATCACTACCACCACAATTCTCATCATCATGCATCATCACCATCGTCGTCGTCATCATCACCACTACCACCACCACCACCACCACCATCACAATCAACGTACTTATTCAGTTTTTCAAAGTCTTCATCGAAGTTGACCCGCTGTACGTTAAGTCCAATTCTGAGACGCCTTGTCATGAGTTGTTCCCGGATCATCTCACCCGTCGAAGAATTGATTAGGTTACCATCCGGATCAAGACGAAACCCAAGGAAAGTGAATGTTTGATGGTCGGGATTGAAGAACATGTAGGGATGAGGACTGAAAAGAAACAGGTATTATTAGGAGGGCACACAGATTATCACGTGGTAGTATTACCCAGACCCTTCTCCGCCAACCCTGGACGCTGAGGGAATGAATTTATACAGCGCCTTTTCTATATGAATATAATCAAAGGCGCTTTACATTGAGTTGTGAATGGCAGATTTGCTTTTTGTGTAATTTACAAGCATGAGAGATGGTTAGTATGAAGTGTAGGCACTGAGGGTGGTCACTGCCAGAGTTTCTTTACGTCCTCAGTGGTTCTTTTACGTCCCTCCGATGTTGGTTAGTAATGTTGAGCGTGGAGAGACGGGACCGCCATTTAAAGTGGTCATCCGAGCCACTTGAAAGTCTAACCATTTGCAGATATAATTACAAAGGCAGCACCTTCTCCTCAGTTATTTTAAGACCCGAGTGTTGGTCCGGCCGGGACTCGAACCACGACCTCCCGCACGATGCTCAATCAACTAAGCCAACTGACTGAGGCTGAGAGAACCGCTCATCAAGTTTGCAAAACTAAAATAATTGCGTTGCAGAAAAAAATTGCAACCTGTATCGGTAGCTTCATATTCAAAGTCGCTGCGGAAATATAGAACAGGTGCGCCAAAGAAATTAATTAGCAATTTCCTAGAATGAACTTCTGTACATGACGAAAAACAGGTATATAAAGACTGATATAGAGTTTTGTTAAGATGCAATGGGTTGTTCTATTAGTCCTGTATAAATGATTGTCATCAACACCTGCTTTCCCATCTCCTGCGAAGTTGAAACTGAGCAATGTCTCGCGGTTCATCGTCTTGAGTGTCATCTTTATCAACCGAGTCACTTAGCGAGCGAGTGGAGAAATCCTGATAAAATTCAATATATATATATAAATATATCTGTTCCTTCTGTTTCGCTGTTTCGTGGTGTTACACGAGAAGATTCCCAAAGACGACTTTTCGTGTAACATTGTTCTCGTGTAACATGGCGCGCAGTTACTATTTTTAACGATCATTTGTTGTGGCAACGAGTTGCAGGTTTTTGAACGACCTTCAAGACTCACAACATTGCTGCCATCAATTGGTGTTGCCGCGCACGCCATGTTACACGATGCCAACACAACATTTTTGCGTTAAAAATCGTCTCGGTTAACATCACCTTAAAGGAAAAGAGTACCAGCTATTAAATTCAAAATTGACTAATGAAATGAGGGCCACAGGTTTGTCACCCACTAGCTATTAAGTGCTACCCTTGAAAAAAACATGGACGATTCGCTTTAATGTAGTACAATACCTGAGCCATTAAAGTCATGAATCGAACCACAAACATGCGAAATCCTTCCAAGGTATCCGCTACGTTTTCCATCTGACAGAATACGCTTTGTTCACAGTCTGTTAACTGATAGTTAAGAAAATCCACAAAGTGTCGTAGCTCTGCCCAGGACGGATCGGTTACACCACAGTACTTTGTGAGAAGAGACAGACAATTTGCATCACCTTCAGCAAGTACCTCTGGGTCAAACTGAAACTCGTGAGGGATCTCGGGAGCAGTGTCATAAAGTTGCAGGTACTGATATACTCGTTGTACTGGCTCGCTCTGAAACTGGTCTTCATTGAAAGATGTCATGAAACTGGAATCTGAATCTGGAGCTGGAAGAAAATTAATTAAGCAACCGAATATGTGAGTTGAGTTTGTTTGTTGTATTGTTCTCTCTCCTGCCACAAGAGTTTTTCTCCGGGTTCTCAGGTTTGCGTAAAAATCAACATGTAAGCTGAGTGTTGTGTGTTGTAAATAGTGTACATACGTAGAGGTATCCTAAATGAAAAGCCCCTTACAGGGAGTGATATTGGGCACACAGGGAAGCATTCAGTTTGGATTATGATTTGCTAATCAACAAGCTCTTTCTTCTCAAATATTTTTTCACCTAAATATCTACCTGTATCTTTATTCATTTCATCTAAAGCTTTCACAGGCGTCACGCATGTCACGTGAGGTAGCTCATGATAAAAATCGTGCGATCGCGCGTACTTGTCTGTACTCTGTGAACCAATTAATGCAAAGAAATAGGAGGTTAGATCATGATGCACACATACATAGACCACTTATCATATAGTAAAATCCATGCTCACCCCTGTCTGCTGGGTATCATGCGATAGCGTCACTTCTATAATGTACAGGTCACGTGGGTTTCGTTTCCATACGCGACCCCGGTTGTCTTGAATCGAGCCAAGAAGCAGCAAATTGAATAGTAGAGTATCAAGTCCGTGTTCCACCTGACCGTGAAACGAAAATAGTTTAGTTTGATGACATTGTAATTGATTTACGTCAATGATCAGGCACTCAGAGCAAGGGACAGGTGAACAGCCTCCCAAGCAAGAAGCTCTTGATTAAAACACTTGTCAGACACTTAGGTTATAAGTGTCTGATGACAGATGCCAAAAACCCGACTTGTGGGGCTCTGTTGGTTTCGTAAAGAGAACCGAAAAGAACTTTTCTCGTACATGACAGGGGGCCGACCACAGCGGTAAAAAGCCGCGCAATGACTATTGCAAGTTATAGATGCGTCATCATAATCATAATCATAATCATCATCATCACCATCATACCGAGGGAGAGACATCAATGTGAAATATCCGCGACATTGGGACATCAGTCTTGAGCGAGTAAGGCAGCAAGACGCCAACTGTATCCGACAAGTTTGCTGTTTTTCTATGTAATGGAACGATGACGTATGGAGTCACGTGTTCTTCCTGATTTTCCAAGAGTTTCGTTACAGTGCTGTTGTTTGTGATGCTATCGAGCTTTTTGGAATAGTCTTGCACTATCAAACTCTTACCAGTTCCCGCACGGTGGGAAGATATTACTCGAACTGAAAGACTGAGATAAAAATGTTATTTTAATAACTTCTAATAATTAATAAGTGATAATTAGTTAATGATCATTAAAAATATTACCCATTTAATTGGTGATAATAGATGAAAACTTAATAATAATCATAATGTAATGATGAGAATAGGTTAATAAGCTAGGAAGAAAGTACTACAATAATTTGTTAAGTTTGTCACTAGGGATAGGGATCTAACCCATAACCCATAACCCATAACCATAACCATAACCCATAACCTTCCGGATGCTAATCAGATGCTCTACCACTGAGCTATAGGAAAGACTCATGATGAGCGGCCATTTACTGCCTGGGTTAATCATTATGCAATTTTCTTATCAATAATATACATAAAAAATTTCTAAATTCTGATTGGCCGACAGCAGTGCAGTTCAAATGAAATAGCAGTGCAAAAAATGAAATAGCAGTGCAAAAAACTGAAATGCCAGTGCAGATTTCAAATTTTTAGGATTCTGATTGGCTAAAAAAACAATAGAAATTGAATTAGCAATCAGATTATAGCAGTTGCCATAGCAACAGAAATTTTAGGATTCTGATTGGCTAAAAAACAATAGAAATTGAATTAGCCAATCAGATTATAGCAGTTGCCATAGCAATAGAACAGCCTTCCCTCTCTGGAAGTTCTCAGAAATTTCAAGATGGCGGATTTTCATCTTAAAAATGGATTCAAAAATGCTAAAAAAGTCAAGCTTTATCAGTTGAAAACCAGCAAAAAAGGTTTAAAATGGCAAACGGAGGACTCGCTGCTTGTTATTTGAGAATTAAGAAGGAAAAAAACATCAGTCGGGCCATTTTACAGCTGTTCAAGGTCACTTGACAAGGTGAAGCGAGAGACGTTGAAAGAGCTTTCGACTACTTTATCCGTAAAGAGGTAAATAATACTTCTGTACAAAGAAAGCAGCTCATTCAACTTTTTTTGAGTGTTTAGGAATTGAAAAAAGACGAAATTTGATGATTTATGTAAGTTTTGCAGAATATCTTCGCAATATGCTTACTTGTTTTCTCAAAAAATGTCCGAATATTTGAAGTCTTGAAAATGAAAAAAATGATTTCTAAACATATTTTTACTTTTTAAAGATCAAGAGTAATCTTTGTTATTCATATTTCAAAAAAAGTAATCTTTGTTATTCATATTTCTTTCCTGTTTTTCAGAATAAAATATTATTTTGTAAGCCTTTTTTTGTCAAAAATAACTTCGCAAAACAAACAAGTTCTTCGCTTCGCCATTTTTTCCAACACGTCTTTTTTCTATCTAATTTGGTTGGATTTTTTTATATATATTATTAAAAGGTAATAAGATGATTTTTCGTTCAATTTGGATTAATTTGCACTCGTTTGTTTTCTCAAAAAGTCCGTAATTGCGTGAGGCCGTAGGCCGATGCAAATTAATTCCAAATTGAACTCGAAACCATCTTATTACCTATACTTATACTGATTAATAACACAAGTATTTATATATGTTATAAATTAATAACAATAACAAACAATAACTATAATCGCTAATAATAATGAATAATAAAAGTTAGCAATAATAAATAATGATAAAGAATAATTAATACATAACAAATAATGATAATTAATAATCAAAAAACTTTCGTTTATAAAGCAAAGCTTGATAATATATCTTTCAAGTTTTAATCGAACCTGTCTCGACTTTCCACACAAGCAGCAGGTATCCAATCAATGTGATGGCCCTGATAATTAACTGGTAGTGGTCTTGGAGCAACGAACTGTTTCTCTAGGTACTCTGTCACTTCAGATGGTCTTGGACAGCGAGGAGCTCCAGCAACACGATACTCATCCAGGGCAGACACGATGTGTGACTTGACTTCTTGTTCATTGCTACATATCACCACGACCTTGTAATCTAATAAACAAAAAACATTGTTAATTTAAAACTCTTGAGTAAACTTGACAAGATAAATATATCATCTACAGAAAAACCTATAGATAATAAATTTATCATGGCACGTTCATAAGCTATAAGGGAATGGCTGTAGGTGCACAGCGAGATACATGTAGTAATAATTTTTCATAATTTTCTTCATTTCTTATTGGAGCATTGTTTTAAGTACTTCTTTCTGAGGGAGACTGGTTCGTTAGTTATTGTAACTATTTTGTGCTACCCTCTATGAATAAAATAAAGTCTTTATTATATTATTATCATCATGATCGTCATCGCCATCGCCATTGTTGTTATAGCGAACGTTGTAATGAATAGATAAGAAAAAGAAGGCTTACCTACGCTATCAGGGTATTCATGATTAGCCAGGTCAAAGAAGCTTTGAACGGCTTGCTCGCTGACATTATAGCTTAAGAGATCTGCATTCACCAGACAGTAGAACTTGTTTCTCGTGTTGGTTAAGACTCGACGCCATAACAGCTTCACCTTGAAATACATGAATGATCAAAATATAATTTTACCCATAAAGAGCAGTTCCCAAACACGCGTAGATGTTTTTAATGAAATACGTCGAACGACGTTAAGGATGTTCATCGGCAAAAGTCCCATCGTCAGATCTTTTTTAAATTTTGCAAAAAAATGGGGGTCCCGACTTCGTTTAGCCGTCAAAATGCGTGGAAGTTCACCCTTTTAAGGGTAAAAAAGCGCGAACAACGTAGATATGGAAAGCTTTCAAAAATAAGCCATATTTTACTGAAAAAAAATAAGAAAATCGTCTCTATTTTTCAAAGACTTCTAGGAGAAAACCCCAAATAATCAACTATTTTTTGATTTTTTTCTATTTATTTAATTTAAACACTGTGAAATTATCAGTAGAAAATACGTTGGTAATAAAATATATTAATAAATCTACCTACAAAAACTAAACTAATATAAATACAATACTGTTTTACATGACTGCCGTGTAGGAATCCAATGCCATTAATTTATAAATATTTGACAATTCCGTTTTTAAACTGCTGTATAGATTTAGAATTCTTAACCGTATGCGGTAGATTATTCCACAATTGACCCCCGCTGTAACTAAAGCTACGTTTAAGATAATCGGTGCGCGGCTTAGGTAAAGCAAGTTTCTGGTTTGAATCGCTTAGGTAGTAACACGTTTTATATTGATGGAAAATATTTTGCAGGTACTGCGGGGCTTGATATATTGTTTAAGGACTTAAACATTCAAATGGCTTTTTGTTAGATTATCCCAGTGTAAAGAATCAAGAAGCGTATTGGATCTTACTTCATAACTTGCTTTCATTATTACTCTAGTTGTACGATTTTGTGGGGTTTTGTAGCTTTTGTAATTCGTCGCTTAATTGGCCACTTACCCCATCCCATACTGTATACATATTGTAGTACTACAATAGTCGAAATGAGGGAGAATTAAAGCATTGTAAATCTAGACAGCGGTAGAGGGAGAGATAAAAGGTCTGAATCTTTTAGAGCTTCAAAAGCTGAGGAATATTTTTTACATATATTAATATGAATATCATCATTTAACTGGGCACGTAACTTTTACCTTAAGCCTATGACCATGAATCCAGTTTTGGTAATATTCAAGCTTAATTTGTTTGCTTTGAGCCAGCGACTAAGATTGATTTGCTCCGAATTTATCAAAGTGTCAAGATCCGTCACTCTACTACCAGAGATACAAATGCTCTTCTCATCTGCAAACATTTTCGCTGTGGCTGTGATAAGATTGTTGGTCAGGTTTTTTATGTATATATATATATATAATTTATACTTGGATAAACTATTYTTRAATATACTTATAAGATAGATATTTATTTATTTCAATACGTTAGTGATACATAATTGTAAATTYTTATTCATTTATTTTTATAATTGTTAAGCACTATTGGGCTTTTTATGGAAATAGGGCTATATAAATAAATAAAGTTATTATTATTATTATTATTATTATTATTATTATTATTATCATTATTATTATATCAAAAAGAGGACCGAGAATGCTGCGCTGTGGGATCCCACAACTTTTTTATTTTTGCATTTGACAAAGACCCATTGACCAAAGATCTTTGACTTCGATCTGTAATTTGTATTTTATAAAAGAAATAAAAAATTCGTTGCTGTGCTGTGTGCAGTTATAAAGCACGCGGGGGTTGGCAGAACACAAGAGAAGTGTTAGGAAAAGCATCAACAGTAGAATTGAAAGAATCGTAAATCTCTAAGAAGGCGAAATAAAGGCGTCCACTCACGTCGCCGGCAGTAAGTAATGCTGACAAATAGTAGCTATTTAGTGACTAAGTAAACGACTAAGTAAATAACTAAGTGTTAAAAAGTTAGAAATATAAAATGTTATTGGGCTACAAGTGTGGACTTAGAGCCTTCACGCTACGTGAAATTCTATTCCAATTATTCACAAAATATCTATAAATATCAATTTAGAGCTATAAGAGATTTTAAAAGACGCTTTCATCATATTTTGCTTACCAAAGCATTGGAATGACGTCATCACGATGAGCGCGCGGTCACTGAATTCGTGCGTAGGAAGGATGCATGCGAACAATGCCCATGAACGTTCTTAAGGACAAAGACTGCATTCACTATGTATGACAGAGGTTGAAGGAGCCAGGTGATATTTCTTAATACTCTCATAATTTTGGTCTTCCCCCTCCTCATTCTCTGGCAAAAATTTGAGGTGCAACTACTTATTTCACATTTAGATCCCCCTGAATTTCAGCTCTTTCCCCCTGGCATATATAATGAATGCAGGCCAAATAGAGGTTGGTTACTTAGCAAAGGTATTTTACCTCTTCCAAAGTGGTATCTTGAGTGCAAATCAACACTTCATGTCTTGATGGAAGTCCTACACTTTCCATGTAAAGTCCAAGAACAGTAGGTAGAATATCTCCTGAAGAAAACAGCCCAAAAACTTCAATCAGCACTTATCGACAAATACTTCGCCGTAATTATCCGTAATTGTTATAGTCTATAAGATTATCTGAAAGGGTCGTTTTGAAAACGAGGCTGCTCGCCAAAATCAAAACCATTATTGACAAAGACTCTTGGATGGGAGTCGAAAGCTCTTTAGTGCTTTTAAATGAATGCTGTTAAGAAAGAATAACAGTTTACTTGTTTAATCAATGTCCCTGCAAAATAATCTTTTTTCTATAATATTGTTAAATTGTTCTGCAGCTAAGAATGATTTTTATTTTTTTGCATTAAACTGACAGCTGTTGGACTCACTTTGAGGAACAAGTAGCATGTTTGGTTTTCCCGCCGTCAGGTAGCCGGGGAATGTCATTGGTCTTTGGTCCTCTGGAGTAAAGAAGAATGAGAATTGAAATTGGACTTTCCGAGGTTGCGCGGAAAACTAATAAGAGGCGAGCTGAATCATGTGGCTGTTTTGTAGTAGAGGATGCCATTTATGTTAGATCCTATGATTCGATCAGCGCCCCCATACTCTTTGTCAGTTTTCCAAGCAATCTCGAAAAGTACTATGCTTGTGAGTGAAATGCTACGCTGAATGTTGTACGAGAAAATAGGTAAATGAACATGAACTACTGAATCTATCAACAGTCCCCTTCAAAGTGTCATGCGCCATCTTGAAAGGTAGCCGTGCATTTGCATCAAAGCGAGACGAACACTAGGCTTGCAATGATAGAGACCTTTTTTAACTCCTTGAACAATTGTTCACATGTCTGTATCATTGCAAGCTCACCGTTCGTCTCGTTTCGATGCAAAGGCACGGCTACTTTTCAAGATGGCGGTGGGAACTGTGAAGAGGACTATTTTTCAGTTTCACATCACACCTTGGGTCGGATCATTAGCCAGGCAGGCCAGTAAAGTACTCAGTTCCCCAAGGCTTAAGTACAAACCACTTAGTGTCTGATCAAGTTCAGCTGCAAAGTTACGACCATCATCTTCTGTTGTTAATCTTGAAAAAAAAGTACGAGAAATGGTCATGGTAAAGTATGAAAGTATTTTCGATGACTGTAAATAGTCAGTTGAATCATGGGTAAATAATGATTTAATAATTATATCTAGCGGCTGACTCATCCAAGAGGGATGGGGGAGGAATACTAGAGAACCCGGAGAAAAACCATCGAAACAAGGGAGAGACCAAAAAAATCAATTCACGTGTAATTCGTCCAGGAATTGAACCCGACGCCCTAGAGTACGACGACTGCAGCACTCTTGAAAGCGATGGAAGGGATGGCAGCCCCACCTTGTGAATTCGAACTTCTTGATGACATTGCCCATGGTGCCCAGTCTCCTAGTATCACAGATCTCCTTTCTATCAGAATTGATTGTATTATCTATTTCTCACTTTGTAGAATGGAAGAGTAGGCTCCTTTAGGTCCCCGTGGGCATTTTCAGGATGTGTAGCGGCTCCGCTCTGGGATGTGCGGACCAATTTTCACACCCATATCTAAATAGGTATACTCGCATGTATTGTTAGTATTTGAAATGTTTTACTATTTATACCTGTCAATATCTCTTTGCTTCTGTTCATCATCAGGTGTTACATCTGGGACACTTGCTTGCGGAAACAAAGAAGCGTATTTAGGGTTTTGGGCTCCCTCATCACACAAATCTTTAATGTCTTCTTCTTTATTTTTGTTTCGTAGAGACCACATTAGGAGTTCTGATTCGTCACTAGGACAGTCACACGCTACAATAGCTGCCAATGCGACTTCTTCAGGATACCTAAGCTCCTTAACATAATCGAAAAACTTATTGTATCTTTTTCTAAAATCGCTATCTGGAATTTCTTCTTCTTCTTCTGTTTCCGTTGAGGAATGGTTTTCTTCAGAAAAGTCGACATCAATGGCAATGGCAATCAATGCTTCTCGTAGTGAACGTGCAGTAACACCTGGAAGCACACTATCCAGGAGGGTATAAAACTGAAATAGAAATAGACATGGACACATGACGACATATATTGTAACAAAATATCAAACCATTTTATCAAACCCTTCGACAACCTCTTCTGAGTGGTTCATCTGTCTAACATTTTAGCAATGACATGGAGTCAAAAATGCCTGTCCAGTATCATCACATTAAAAATCATGCAAAGGAAATATGAAGTAGAAAAATATGTTGCTATGAAAAGCAAGGCCTTAGAGCAATTTTATAAAAAAATGGTGTTTTAATATATAAATGTTCTAATAGTAGAAAATGTAATAATGGAAATGTAATAAATAAATAATAAATAAATAAATAAATCATCACATTAAAAAATACTTGAGAAAAAAGTTGTTAGAAAAGGACGATGGCAGCAGTATCACCATCATCATCACCATTACCATCGCCCTCACTTCAATCACCATAGTACATTATCATCAACACCATCATCATCATCATCATCATCATAAGCAATTGCTCATCATAATCATCACCATTATCATCGCCCTCATTCCAATCACCATAGCAGCAGCATCACCATCATAAGCCACAGCAGCAACAGCAACGCCTAACAGCATTTTTAGATGTCACCATTACCATCGCCCCTTGTCAATCACGAGGGCCACTATCCGAGGGACACAAGTTTATCAATAAGTGTTTTACCCTATTTAAGTAAATCAAGCTGTAAAATTCACGAATAATTAATAATGAGGGTCTAAGCCAAACCAATTTTCAGAAACCAGGTCACATGAATAACATGTAAACCCGATACAAACCTTAGAATGAAAATGCTAATTAGATAATCTCCGCCATCATCCTCGTCATCGTCATCACCAATTATCATTATCATTAACAACATCACAGTCACCATCACCATATTATCATCATTCATCACCGCCATCATGAATCATCATCATAATCATCAATATTATCATCAATCAACACCACCGCCAACATGAAGAACAACGCCCACGACGACGGCATCAAAGTTGGTAGGGGAGTCGAACATGTCGACATTACCTGAACATCTAAGTTTGCGAATTCTAGTCCTCTTCTCAGTTTGGCAATTTCTTTTCTCATGTAAAGTAGCTGTTTCGCGGTAAAATAGTTCAGTTCTTTGCACTCGTTTCTCTGGCAGTTCAAAATCTCCATCCATGCTTTTAGAAACTTGTCAAACTCGTTATAATAAGTCTGTAGGTCAGGGATTAAATCATTTCTCCGACATGTAAAGTCTCTTTTCCAGTCAAGATGGCTGACCTCACCCGTTTCACAAAGAGCCATATATACTGTTCCTAAGCAGATTGCACCTTGTAACATCTGAAAAAACATTTGTGACATCAAAATAAGGAATAATAATAAGAGGAGGATGGAATAGGAAGGGAAGAGAAGGAAGTAGAAAAGAAGGGTGGAGGGAGGGAGGGAGGGAGGGAGGAAGGAAGGAAAGAAGGAAGGAAGGAAAGAAAGAGGGGAATTTGAAAGGGGAATAAATGAATAAGAAAAAAAGGAGGAAAGAAAAGGAAGAAAGACAATTTTAAAGTAAAAAAAAACAAAGAAAAAATATAGAAGAATAAGATGTTTAACAAACAATTTGAAATTTAAAATATCTGACATTTTGTGGAAGCTTGGTTGATTTGTTTTGATGTATGATGCATGCCAAAAACTATAGAAATAAAATAAAGTATTATTATATTTTAAAAATTATAGATAACTCATGAAAAACTGAATATTGACATGCAATTAGGGCTTAGCCCTGGGACTCTATCCCTTCTATTGCGGCAAACGGATTTAGATAAAATATAAATAAATAAAAGAATTATTCTTTTCAGGCAGGATTTGGTCTTGGGGTTGGTATAATGTTGGTGGTCGCAGCACTCTGTCTCTACACCTCATATCTGATCCTCAAAGCATCCGAACCATATGGTAAGAATACCAAGAGCATATGATCCCTGTACTATCAGTGCTTATATAGGGCTAAGGAGACTATGGCCAGATATGAAAACTAAGRAAAAATAGAAAATTTCATGAAGAAAACTGAGAAACATAATGCTACTTATGATCTATGAAGAAAGGAAGCAGCAAAAGGAGGGAGGGAGGAACGAGCAAACTTAAGATGCAAGGAAAGAAGCAGAGAAGGGAGGAAGCAAAGAAGGATGGAGGGAAACGAGGAAGGAAGGAGGGGGGAAGGAAGGAGGGATGTAGGAAAAGAGGGAGGGAGGGAACGAAGGAGGGAGGGAGGGAACGAAGGAGGGAGGGAAGGAGGGATGTAGGGAAGGAGGGAGTATTGCGTACCTCAGTAAATTTGTCCACATGTTCTTGGCCTACAGACTTCCCAGCAATCAGCATCAGTTTGCTCTGTAGATCTTTAAGATCCTCTAAACTGTAGGTTTCTTTTTGCAGGCTTTTCACTTTTCCTGGTGGTACTCTTAGACTTATCATGGTATTGATATTAATTTCCTCGTCTTTTCCATGGCAACCAATGGTTAATGTTCCATGTTTCATTATAGTTTCTACTTGCTGTAGAGAAGACATTGTCAATGATCCATGGAATTCTAGAACGTTCTTCAGCCATTCCAGTCTTCCACTAGTGTCACTCTTAAAGATTAATCGAATTGGTTAACATTAGAAATCAGTAAGATAGTCAGCTAATAGTTCAGTTCTTTTCCCATTTCAGACCACGTGTCATTCTCTTAAGTAAGATTCTTTGTTCTCGTTGAATCTATCTATATTCACGTTTCTTCTCGTGCGCAACCGTTAAACAGAGAAATGATACTTGAGTGAATGTCATGTGGTCTGAAATGGGAAATTATACATCCAAGGTAAAGAGGTCTATTTGGAATAGCCGTAGCGCTTCTAGTTTTCTTCTTCCAACCTCATTGGTTGACCGATCGATGTAACTAACAATAATTCAATGATGTTACAGATCGTACCATTTGTAATGGCAATCTTGTGTTGTGCTCCAAGTCTTCCCAAACGTCTCTACACAACTCAACTAAACATTTAAAGTCATCATCTTTTTTAAGGTCATAAATGAGTGGTTTAAAGCCTCTTGTACACGCGTGAAGGGCAGCGATACGGTCTATTTCCATGTCACCCTCATCAGCTAAAATCATGGCAAGATCTACCAACACCTTGATTTCACTTGAATCTGAAGATCAAAAAAGCATTTATAGTTGATCGATGACTAGAAAATAGTCTTAACCAATCAGCGCACTGGTAACTGATATTCTCCAAATATTGAAAAATCTACGATGGATACGTCAACCGGAAGTGTAAATGACTTCACTTTGGGGTCAGTTTTGTGCCTTCAAAATCTGTCTTCCCTGTGGATGAGTTGACTTTTGCTGACAACAGAACCCCAAAGAGAAAGTCCAGTTGACGTCGCCGTCGTAGATTTTGAAGTCCCCTATTATTTACCTGGTACGACTTCCTTTAACCAAACGATGAAGTCCTTAGATTCCATCACAACATCTAGACATTGCAGTCTCTCAGGAGTGAATTCCTCGAGCATTCTAACGGTCTGGCTAAATTCTTCCTGTAAAGAATTTAGCGGCTGTCTCTTGGACTCTGGACTTATCTACAGGAGTAAAAATAGTAACGACAATTGATTTATCTATATATCTTCTACCTCGTACAACAAAGAAATTTGGTTGCGCATGGAATGATAATACGGGCAACATTCGCTTTGCAATTTAAACGCCACAATACTGCGTGACAAAATGCACGACTTTGCAGCCAGTGTTACCAAACCAACGGCATTCAGCCGAAATATACCTGACGACGAAACGTTTCAACCGTTTCGAAATCGCCATTCAAATCCATCTTGACAGCAAATTCAAGAATCTTATCAGCAGCTGCTATACAGTTGGTCACTCTGTGGTACTGCCGGATATGATTTACTCCTTCGTGTATTTCTTCAACGTTAATAGTACCACTGCAAGCACACATGATGGTACAAAGGTCTTGCTCAAGATCATCGTAGCGCCCATCTTTGAAACCTTCGAAACGCTTGTCAACATCCTTAAGGGTTATAATTCCTGTCAACACCGCGTATAGTATGTCTTTGCATTTCTTGATGGTCGGAGACCAAACTTGTTCGAAGACTTCTTCCAATGTTAATTGTTCGCCATGTTGTGCATCTTGAAATTTTATTCTCCAAATATCACTGAAAATCCTGCTGTCATGAATAGTATGCATCGTTGTTATCATTGTTTTAAACTCTCTTGAAAGACCAAAAAAAATGACTTGTACTTGCATTTCGCCAACTGTTTTACCACAAGTGTGCACAGCGAGGTCGCTTATATCAACCTGGGATACATCAGTATAGGCATTACGTTTCATATCCTCTACATCAACTATAAAAAATAGTAATAATAATAAAAAAGTGAACGAAAGGAAAAGGGATTCGTAGCTCTCAAGCTGCTGCCATTACAGAGAGCATATTGTAGCTCCCTGTGACCTGAATTCAAAGGCATCAAAAGTGGTGCAGCGGTAGTGCTCTCATCTCTCACCTCTGGGGTTTCGGGTTCTATCCCTGGACTCTACATTCGGTATGAGTAGAGTCAAGAGAAAATAAAATAACGGAAGGAATCCCCGCGCCCTATCATGAGCACCCTTTGAAGCTATTTTTAGAATCAGTATTGCTATTTTTAGAATCATTCATTTGATCGTTTGTTTTTCTGCACGCGCATACTGTGCTCGCTCTACGTTGTCTGCTTATGTTTTCTTCTTGTTGTTGTTTTTCCTTCAAGAAAACCTGAACAGACAGCTCGGAGCGTGCGAAGTATGCACGTGCAGAAAAACAAAAGTAGAAACAAACGGTGCCTATATATGCTGGTTCTTAGTTCATTTACTTTTGCAGAGTTTGTTAGGTTTGTTCCTTGATTCAAGTCATGGCCTGACTTAGATCAGCCCAGAGGTTGTTTCAGGGTTAGATTTGTGAGTTAGCCATGCCCTGACTTAGATCAGCTCGGACGTTGTTTCAGGGTATCGATAAAAAAGTTTGTTTTTTCTGAGATTAATTAAGAATGAATAAATACCATGCTCTAATATGGAACCTATGCCCAGAAATGAGCGTAGTTGTTCCCTTTCTTTTTCAAATGCCTCCAGCTCATCGAGTCGTTTCCGCAAACTAGCTTGGGCCTTTTTAAAAATCCTCCCAAAATCTGTATGGGTATCATCTTGTCCGTCATCTTCTTCGCTTTCTTCGTCACCGCTATCGTCATCACGGTCGTCATCACTGTCGTCAATAGAATATCCCAATATCTCTAATAGTTCACAGTACTTATCCTCTCTGCCTCTAAGGATGCGCAGTATGTTTACTTTGACTGAGGCATCAGATACCATACGGTGGATATCCTCGAGACAACTAGTTGTTTGTGTAAGCAGGGTCTGAGATTCGCCCGATAGGGCGTGGGACCTTTCAGCTGTGGAAAACCAAGATGGCAGTAGCATCAGAATCTCGTAAGAAAGGGCTTCCTATATAACTGGAATTTTTCTTATATCTTTTTTCAACAACATAAATAGTATATATTAAAACCTTTATGGTTGAGGAAGCGTTATTAAATTTTGTAAATGATTCTAACCTACAAAAACACGTTAGAATAAATAGTTTTGTTGTATACCAAGTGTCAAAGTCCATTTCTTCTCTCTTCTCATTCGAATTCATTGGCCAAAAGGGTGCCACCGAACATCGGGAAAGTAGTGTATTTTGTGGTCCCGAGACGCTTACCAAGGCGAAGCCGGTCCCAGTAAATAAGTGTTAAAAAGTCTATCCTTGTGCTATGTAATACTTACTAAAATATCTCAGATAATTTGCCATTGGATTCCATGTTAACACATGAGTCAACAGAGAGTCTTGTTGCTCAGTGTCTTTTGGCCAGCAACGTTKGAGTAAAAGTGACATCATTTCACCAACTTTTCTGGATTGACTGCTGTTTGGGTCATGCTGCCAGAGACTTTCAAAAGCTTTTTCACGCTCGGCCTCTCTACCAATCTATAATATGCATCATACGGACACTAGTATCAAATTTGTGTTACTGAAAAAGATACAAGCTATTTCAAAAAAAAATTGGTGAAGGTTTTGTGGCATGTTGCAAGTTGCATGTTACATACCAAGCCCGAACTACTATTCTATGGGTAACGAGAATTCAATCAGCAAAAGGCCACAACAATATGAAATTCTCTAAACTTTCTCTGCATGTTTTTCTAGTATGTTCTCTTCTTAGTAAGCAACGTGCAACATGCAACAAAAGCTTTCACCAACCTTCTTTGAAATAGTTGTATATTATATATCTCAGTAGTAAGTTTTACTTTCTCAGTGGTGTTTTCGTATACGTAGGGATTATTATTAATTGATGATGAAGATTTCAATACTAACATTGATTACTTTTAATACCAAGTTCTCGATTATACTGTCCATCTTCGAATTCATGATATTACATCCCTGTACAGATGGCCGATTTGCTCGAAAGAATGGCATTAAAACTAATCAATAAACATGCCATTTAACAAGTTGTACTTTGTTTCATTAGTATGTCAAAACTTCTGTGCATTTGCGAAGCAAAGCGTTATTTCCAGCCAATGCCATTACATGGACTTTATTTACAATGCGGTGTTACTAAATCACAAAAATAATAGAATCTATAAAAACGCAGTCGTAAGAATACTTTATACTGTTATAGATACCTCTACGATACTTTTGATAGCATCAAACGCTGCACCCTGGAAACACCTCTCAAGTTGTTGGTGGAAGTGGTTGAATTTGCCTCTTGAATAGAAGTCAATCCTTTGTATTTCATTCATCTACAAACACATTTAATAATGACTAATGAAAGTAATCATTGTAATCGACAGTAAGTCGACTGCGGAAACACTTCCTTGCAAGTGTATTTGACGGCAATGAATAGAAAGTCCTTTAAAATCTTTGTTTTCAAAGCATACCTTCTTAATRCGTAGGTTTAGACTCTCCTTTAACTCGTCCTCCCAAGATTGACGAAATGTGTTGTCTGAGAACTCGACATGATAAAAATCTGACCACGTCTAAAGGGTTGGGAGACAAGTTAGAAAACAATAGAGGAAGCATCAAGAACAATACCCTTAAATATAGAAACATTGGATACCTTTAACTCCGCCTCTACTGATTCCTCTGAAAAGCTATCAAGATTGCCTGTAAACACTTTCTCAAGGCAGTTTCGAACTTTTGTCGACGTTGTTGCAATGCTTTTAGAACAAATGTTGTTGATGTTGTCATGATTTTTTAGGTCTTGCTCGTCGGTCTGGGGTTTAGTGACTATGTACTTCAACAAGGACAACGTCTTTGACAATATAGTGAGAACTGCACATGCCAAAGCCAATTTCTCTTTCAAGGACTTAAGGAAAAAATCAAGAACTTCTTGTGACGCCTTTTCCAAGGAGATATACCTATCGATGTTGAATCTGGTGGTTCTGTTAGTGAGAATATTGCAGTGTTACAATGATACTTGTATTGATAGAGCATTCTAATTTTTGTATGACTGTGAAAAGACATGTGCTTTCTAGAATTTTGATTGGGTGATCTTGGCGTGGCCGTGACCATGTCCGCTTCCGTGTTCGTGTCCTGTGTCGGCTATTTGATTGGTTAGAGTCGAGTAAATTGATTGGTCTTGCGTATTCCTTGCCGTGTCATGACCGCGTTCTTCCTGCGACCTTTTCATAGTCATAAGGAAAAAACTCTGATCTTCTAAAAGAACTTTATTAAACAAATGGCAAAACTGAAGTCGGAGAAGATGGTCTTGTTTGTTTTACGTTAGTAACAGACTGTAATATCATACTTACGGTTTCTCTGTTTCATTTTCAACTTCGGTTTCTCTGTCTATCGTTTCGGTTATTGCACTTAAGCACTCGTTGATAGAGCTCACCTAAAGGATCAAAATATTGACAGATTACGATCAGGCAAAAGGTGTATGCAAAACTTTACAAATCTGAAAAACAGCTATAAACTTACTTCTTCCTCGCTGATATAGCTTTTTGTCTGCAGCCTCGCACATAACGTCCAGCACATTTCATCCGGGGGAAAGTCCCCCCGTCTGACACATCCTCCAAGGTCACGAAGAGGTAAAGCGAAAAGGAAGGTCCTCCTCAGGAGAGGATCAAGCTCAAACATTTGTTTAAGTCGATAAAAAACCTCCATTGGTGAACTGTTAATTAAGGGTTAAAAAAGAACACTAAATGAGTCTAAAGTTCATTAATGTTTCTTTGTTCTTCATCAAGACCAAGACCACGACCACACCCACACTCACCCTGCCCTCCACACACACGCGATGAACCCACCATCCCCATGATGATGACGACCACATACATTCATTCAGCGCCATAACGGACGCAGCACGACATGTCTATACCTCATAAGTTCGTGTTAAGAAGTCATTACCTAATTAAACTTTTTTGAACATTAGAAAGATCAAGACCATTTGTTCCCCAGTATGAGTCATCACTTATAGGTGTTTCTGTTGTGATGACAACTTCTGTATAGGGTTGACACGAATTCGACAAGAAGTGCATCAAAGGCACTGCAAGGAGCCAGTGATGGATATGAGGTCTGTGTATTATGGTATACTGGAAGAGTTCAAGAATGCCTTCCAAAAGCCTCCTATAAACAAAAACAATAATAATTGAGAGTCTTGAGAAGAAGTGGTTTTTTAAGATAAAATTCAGCGATAAAACTTTACTAGCAAACATAATATTACACGACGTTTCGACGTTAACTGAACGTCATTATCAAGTGATAAAAAACTAAAAAACGTTAACTTATACACTTATTTCAATAAAGTTAGTCACCAAAAACCTAGAAAGCTGAGATCACTGAGCATCATGGGAAACTTTTCATATCAAAAAAGCATATATATACAAAGCTTTTTTAATACAAACACCAGCTCGATGATGATCAGAAGAGGTGAGACTGTAACCGGTAAAAGATTCGCAAGTCCATGAACAGTTATCAAGCGGTTGAACGTGTAAAATGAATCTACCCATAATCCTTGTCGGCCTCAGCTTTATAGCTTTTCAGGTGACTAACTTTATTGAAGTGTATACAAGAATAATAATGAGTATAAAAAGGTGCGAAAACAAAAAACTATGTAATTTAAATATTGTACAATAAAATGACGAACAAAGAAAGAAAAATAAAAAAATTATTATTCATGTATATAAGCTAACGCCTTTTAGTTTTTTATCACTTGATAATGACGTTCAGTTAACGTCGAAACGTCGTGTAATATTATGTTTTTTAGTAAAGTTTTATCGCTGAATTTTATCTTAAAATATAATTGAGAATGTGCTGTTATTTTTTAAGGTTTGAGATTTTCCCCTCTGGTGCTGCAATAACAGAACACGAGCTACATTGCACTAATTTCCCACCAATTAAAATCACCATAGCCATCCCACAATCAACCCAATAAAAAGTAAAAGCTGACAGACACTGAGGTTGGTCACTGCCAGGGTTTCTTTACGTCCTCAGTGGCTCTTTACGTCCTCAGTGGTTCTTTACGTCCCTCCGATGCAGCTTAAGGTTTAGTGTGGAGAGGCGTGACCACCGTTTTAATTAATTACTAACCATGTGTTTTCAGGGGAGTAGTACCCATTCATCAGAACCTCTAGCAAGATTTCTAGTCTTTGTTGGCCGAATGAAGGGTTTATGGCCAAACATTCAAATATTCTCATAAGATGTTCGTCTTCTGGATTAAAGTTCAAATTGAAAGCGATCGTCGCAATAGCAAGTGAAGTCGCCAGACACTCTGCTTGTGTTGGAACGTCGCTGGTAGCTTGTGCAAGTTCGTAGTTCAAATTTAGTCTTGGCTCAATATACGAAAACATAACCTGGTCAAAATTTTAAATGTTTGAAATTAATATTCAACTTCCATATTGTACGTTCCCGGTCCGTTGACCTTAACGGATGTGAACTGACTAAAGAAGAGTATGTCGTTTGTGTATTTGAGTAAGCTTCGTGATTTCTGATGTATGTTTAAAAAGGCGGGGTCCTTCAGTAAGATGGAACAGCAGCAGTATCAGTAGTAGTATTGGTGGTTGAGGTGGTAATAGAGGTGGCAGTGGTGTTGGTAGGAGTAGGGGTGGTGGTAGTGGTGAAGAGTAGGGGAAGAGGGGCAGCAGCAGCAGCAGTAAAACAAACAAAACCTTGTGCATTATTTAGTACATGACGTCTGAGAAGGTCGAAAACCAAAACACAATAGACCGTTTTGTCAAGGTTGTGTGCGCATCCAAATGTAAGAAACCTGACAGGCCACGATACCAGAACAGGAGCTTTATAATGAGAATTTTCATACATTTCTATTAGATTTTTCAATAAACATTTATCAAATCGATTATTCTCATCTTTAAATATAAAACTGGCTTCTCAATTTTACTGAATTCGCGTTTTTCAGTTTTGTGTCCCGTCAAGTTGGATGCGCACACAACCTTGAGAAAACGGTCTATTGGGTGTATCTTTGACAAATATTTATTTACCTGTTCTAACGAGAAGTCTTTCAATTTATAGTCATATACGAAACCTCCAGTTTCTCGCTTGGCATTTCTAATACAGTAGACCACTTGGTTGATCGTTTCCAGTACTTCGCTGCCCTTTTTCTTACCGTCTCTATTTTCTTTTCCAAAGGAGTCCCAATCAGGCAACATAACCTGCATTGCCAATTGACGTCCTTCCACTGGATTCACAAATTTGTACATTGGAAAATTGCTAAAAAACGATTCCCATGGGCCTGGTGGTCTGAAGATCCCGTCATCGTATTGATGCCAGATACCTGAAATATAAATGTATTTAAAATTGAGATGCACATAATAAAACACGTACCTCAATTTCCTTCAGCAGAATTACCGTTTGGCTTGCGGCAGCGTTCTTGGATATAAAAACATCGGTTTGTATAACTAGTTCCATGGTGTTTGGGATATCCTACCAATTCTTCCCATACACACTTGGATTTTCCGTCACCTTCCAGTTTAAACACTCTGTATTTATAGGTGATTCTATGATGAGCCCATTTGAGAGGTATTTGTGTCTCTCCTTCGATTAGAAGGTATCCATTATTAACCCACCTGAATATGGCAAAAACACATTATTAGTGGTGGCACGAGTTAACAACGGATCCAATATTTATATACAATAAAAATTTATACTACAGCAAATTCATAATCATCACTATCATCACCACCACCATCATCATCATCATCACCATCACCATCATCATCACCACCACCATCATCATCACCATCACCATCATCATCATTACCATCACCATCACCACTATAATCACCAAGATCATCATCAATATCATCATAAATATCATCATTCTCATCACCATCACCATCATCATCACCACCACCACCATCACCAATATCATCAACATCATCATCATCACCATCACCATCGTCATATCATTAAATATTTTATGCGTACTTTATAGGTGTCATTTCTAGTTGGTTAGCATTCCATCCTTTAAAAGGAGTCCCACCGCATACAAAGATCTTTTCGACTCTGGTATCAAGCATAAAATGGGGAGCCAACAAAGCATGAAACACGATGGTAACGCTTTCCGAAACACCTGATCCACTCGAATCATTACAGGAACTTCCATGTGAACTATAAAACACAAACGAAGCAGTGCATAAACAATAGTCATTCTTATTCACTTGTGGTATTCAACACCAACACAAGTCCCAACTAGTAACCGCTACACATTCTTATTCACTTGTTATATTAAGCACATCAACGCAGTCCCCGCTAGTAATTACAATTCATTCTTATTCACCTGTTGTATTCAACACAACAACGTCCCGAGTTTGTAAATATATTGACATTTCAGACGTTAGTCCTTCGTCAGAGTAAAAAAGAAGTTAAGTAGAGTTAAGTTAGGATGACTGTAGATAGCGTAGTGGCGCAGCCTCAACTAGTCCCATAGTACTAATGGACTTATGTAGTTGATAAGCTATCAAGCTACATCACAGGGAGCCCGGCTTTGGAATCTGTACATGAATAAATAAGTCAAAAAAGTACTTTAGGTTTCCTGTGTTGAGATTTGGTAACTTGATAGCAGATTAATGTAAGTAACTCGAGAGCAGCTTATAATTCAAACTTAACGCATTAGTGTAACGCACGCCCTAGTAAATTTACTAGGGCGTGCGTTACACTGATACGTTACGTTAATCTGCTATCAAGTTACTGGTAATACGATTAACGGAAATTCAACGTATCAGCGTCTTGTTTCAAATCTCAACTCAGGAAACCCAAAGCACTTTATTGATTTATTTATTCATGTACAAAACCCAAAGCCGGGCTCCCTGTGGCTACATCAGGTTACACTATGAATTAATGGAAACTATCAAAGATTTTATTTTTCCCTTTTCTTTAATACCTTTGTTGTTGTGTGGCTTTATTACCCTTTGAATCGGCATTCTTAGATTTCTGTTCCTTCAGTGGAGGTTTCTGATGAAAGTATCCATCCTGAATTAAAAGAGATGTTGTTATAACTTAAATGTTAAACATAGGCCACATTTATGTGAATCGCGATTTTCCTATAAGTTTGATCGGGAGAGAGCCGCCAATATAAGCTCAGAACTACCTTGCGATAGAATAATTTTGAGCCGCAAATATGGGATAATATTCGCGGCTAAGTTGGGAGAAAATATATCCCATATTGGCCTTCGTCGCTTCGCGACCACAGCCAATAGGGATATATTTCCTCCCAACTTAGCCGCGAATATTATCCCATATTTGCGGCTCACAATCGCAATAACTTATAAATGCAGGTTAACTCTGGTAATAAGGAAAAAGTATTTATAGAGTCACCCTATGTCATTTTTGAAAACATGCTATGAATGAACTGGGATAGAGGAATGTATAATCAATAAATGGAAACAAATGGGAATGTTGTAAGATTTAGGGTCTTATTAGTTTCCAGTGATGAACCTGAGGTTGGTTGCTTTCATTCAAATTAGAGCCAGAACTTTTCAAGTTTGATGTTCTAGCATTACAAGCTTCGGTTTTTGCTACCACCAGCTTCGTTTGCAGTCTTCTTTATTTTGTCCTTATCATTTTTATTCATCGTCTGGTTTTCGTCTGCTTATGGGGATGGGGTACCTTCACTTTTGTTTTTCTTTTCATTCAAAACTTTTCCTTTCGAAGATGTGTTGGTACTTCCAGCAGATCGATCAAGATTTTGCTTGCCATTCAAATTTGTAGATGCAAATGATACAGAAGTACTTGCCACATAAATAGCAGCATCGTTATTGTGCTGATATATTGTGTTGCAAACATCTTTGTCACCTTTTGCATTATCACTAACTGCATGGGGAATGGCTTGTTTCTAAATCATATCATGTCTTATCTTTGGTGTTGGCATTAATATCCTCAGTTTTAACATATTTTGCCTCACCGTCTTCATTATCACTAACATCTCCTATTACCTCTTTCTTATCTTCTTTCTTGGCATTCGCATTTGCATTGTCCTTTTCCCTTCTCTTTTCACTAGATTTGTTCCCAGTGTGATCTGAGGTTGTTTGGTCTTGATTTGCAGTACCACCATCGGCACTACTTGATCCAACATGTTCTTCATCTCTGCCATTAGGTTCAGAGAAGTGGCTGCTACTGGCCTCTGGTGTAATATTTAGACTAATTGTTGCCCCATCCTTATCTATAGAAGTAATTTAATCAAGGATAAAAAATAAATAAAAGAATAACAAAATGTGGCTCTGTTTTTGTTTTGTCAGTGATGGAACAACATCAATATAACAACACATCAAGAAAAATATGCTTGAAGAAACACAAATCGCAATAATAGTTATCCAAGCACCAAAAACACCTTAATACTAACAACACATCATACACAAGCAGTATGAATCTGAAAATAAAAGCTCTGGAAGCTGTCAAAAGTTATCTTAATTTAGATCATCTGAAAATTTATGAGATTGAGGCTATAATCAAGCCTTCTTGGTGGTAAAAATTTTATTATTGTGCAGCCAACAGGTTTGAGAAAATCAACTGTTTACCAGTAGTTTTCATTTGCCTAGGATTAGGAAGCACTCAAGTTTGTAAATGATAAGGATACCACTCAAACACATATGATATTGTTGTCACTAAAACCACTATGAGTAAGATTATTGTCATCTAACCATATACTTATATCCATGAAAGATCAAGCAAATGAATTAGAGAATAGGGGTATCAAAGTATATCGACTGCATTCTGATCATGATGGGCGCCCATCCGTGAATTCTGATGAAGAGATTAAACAATTTGAGATTTTCAATAATTCTGTTGTCATCCGAAGCCGAATTAAATAATTACTGTAGTTTGGCAGAAAGGCAGAAAGAAATTAGAGAGCATTATTGTGGCTATTGATGAAGGACGTGCACTGCATTGTGAAATAGTAACGAAAAAAATTATTTCAAAAAGTATTAAGCTCATTAATAAATATTGAATATTTTTATGTATTACTTTTTTCTCGAATTATTACTATCTATATATTCTCTCTTTTAATTTCTTTCCGTTTATCATAATATTCTGCCCCCCACCCTGAAAATTCAAACAATAACATGTCAATCAAAACCTCCGCCACCTTGATGAATATTAATGAGATGCCGAGTTTTACAAGTCTCCTCGCCTTTCAAAGCCATCGTAACCGGAAGTGCACTATTTGAATACGAGTTTGCAAAGTAAAAAATAGCGAGCGAGACTTAGGCATTGTAATATCATTTGGTGCCAAGGGTGCCGGGTTCGAATCTTGCCTGCCATATTGAATTGAAGTCCCATTCGTGTGTTCGGAAACCTATGACGCACTTGGTTAACCCGTACTCCACGATGCTTGTCTGATTTGACCCTGATGATCAAAATTTATGTATTTGTACGTATTTGTTCTTGAATAAAAAAAGTTTTCGATGGCAGCTATTTATTTCTCAACCTTAATACGACATTTTAGTGATTATGATATGATTTTAAAAATAGAATAAAATTATAATCGACAGAGATTCACAAGGACAACACCTTAATCTCAATGACTGGAAGACGTAGATAACAGTTCCAACAGACAAAACGGATATACAACGGGTTTGCTTGTGTTATTCAATAAAATAGTAATACAGAACCTCAACATATAAACCCTCGACATTAATTAATCAAAGTCTAGTTGTCTTTAATGTAAAATTACTTAAAGTCCTTAAAAAAGAACACTCGATCCCGAAGTAATGATCAATGTAAAATATAGATCACTCTCGTTGTAAAAATTAAATGACAACTTAAGTCAGTGTCTTACTTTGTTTAAGGGATGATTGTTCGCTTCTTTCTTCTTCTGTATGGTGACGGTTTTCGCTAGACTTGTTGTTCTCTGGATATTTCAGCGATGGGTCGAGCGGAGAAGCACATACTGGACAGAATTTAATGTTTTCAACAGGAAGAGACTCGACTACCAAAGGAGCTGGACATTTTGGGTTTAAACACTTCATTACCAGGTACTCTTTAGCTTCTCATGTTCTCAAATCATGATTCACAATATGGGGGATCGAGAAAAAAATCCAAAACAAAAGCTTTGAAGCCGTGGAATCTTTCTAGCTACGTCGCATATATATGTTTCATTGCACTTATGCAAATTGTTCTTCCAGGAAAAACTAGCTAAGGTTTTCTCGGAAAATGGACACGGAAGTATTCAGCAAGTCACGCTATATAATGTACGGAGTCACGCACGATGTAAAGCGATGAAAATGAAGAGTGATTTCTATTGCTTTGATACTTATAAATCTAAGATCCTCCTCCGTACACGTAG